ACCACACCAACTAACGAAGCCATCGCATTACTCATGCATCACATCATAAACAAACAAGTTAGCCTTAGGGGGAGGAGGAGGAGGAGGAGGAGGAGGAGGAGGAGGAGGAGGAGGAGGAAGAGGAGGAGGATCGAGGAGGAGGGGGAGGGAGAGGAGCAGGAGGAAGAGGAGGAGAAGGAGGAGGGAGCCGGATGATGAGGAGGAGGAGGAAGAGGAGGAGGATCGAGGAGGAGGAGGAGGAGGAAGAGGAGGATCGAAGAGGAGGAAGAGGAGGAGGAGGAGGAGAAGGGAGGCGGAGGAGGAGGAGGAGGAGGAGGAGGAGGAGCAGGAGGATGCGGAGGAGCAGGAGGATCGAGGAGCAGGACGGAGGAGAAGGAGGAGGATCGAGGATCGAAGCGAGCAGCGAATCCGGGCAGGCTGCCCCCGCAAACTCATCTCGGCCCTCGGGTATGCCGCTTTTGAATATGTATCCTTTTGATTGCTCTCGGCCTGGCAGACTTGGCAACCGAGCCATGCCTTCAATGGAGTGGGCTTTTGTGTATCCTCAGTATCCGGCGGCGAGGCTCGGGGGAAGCTCGAGGGATAACGCCTTCTCAAAGGCGGCGGGGCTTCTCAGGAGCCCTCCGGCCTTATGACAGATTTTGTATGCCGTCGTCGAGGGCTTCCCAAACTTCTCAGAAAGCCCGAGGCCTTCCGAAGATTCGGAAAAGGCCCGCCCGCCCCGTCTCACTGCACCCCCCAGGTTCGCCGCCGATCAATGGGCCTGGGGTTCGACCGTCCTCAATTTCCGAATATAATCATGGGAATTACATTCGCTTTCAAGCCATAGGAAATGTGTGGGTTAGCCAACGTTTGCGAGACCACTGCTTGGCTCCCACCGAAATGTTTCAGTCTCTTGGACAAGGGAAGCGCAACGCACTTTATCCTGGCAGAATGGGGCACTGAAAATCAGACACCCCCAAGAGCATGAATCCGGATGCTCATTTCGGAAGCCCTGGGTGGATCTAGCTGCATGAGGGTGAACTGCTTGGCCATTCTGTGAGTCGAAGGGCGGATGCCCGCATCTGTCTTGCAAGATCATGTGTCTGCCTCCAGGCTTCCCAAACGCCATGCCCGAAGTGAGACGATCAGAGATCCTGAGATCTCGCGGCAACCTGCTGCTCAGTTATGCCACCGATACCACGGCATCTCCAACTCCCCTTCTTGGCACGAATAATGTCGCCGGGTTCGGACTATGGCCGCAGTATCGTTAAGTGAAACACGTCGCAGTCTCGTTGCAATTGGAGTTGTCAAATGGCCGTTGGGGATCGAAGACGGCCAAGTTGGCCACCGTCGGCTGTCAAAAACATAACGGCTCTGCACGAATAACGGGCAGGTGTCAGTATCGGAACGGCGTTCTCAAGGATCCTCGGGGAGCCCATTAGAGCCCGTGACTTGGCTCGAGCCAGCTTGGCCGTCGGGTATCTGATCGCTTCGGTGAGACGATCTGGATCGGGATCGGCCCTCTCGGTGACAACAATCGGTGATTGATTACCTCCCGCTCGTTCTCGTTCAGGCACCCCGTTAGGTGGGTGAAGTTTTCCATCGGCTTCCGGTCGGCCAGGCCGATGGACAAAGATCGCGGCTTCTAGTGGACAATGTCTGGCGAGCCTCGCGAACGGTCCGACAGGGTCGAGGCAGATGCAGCGCCGCCGCGGCAACGGCAGCGGCGGCTCCCCCGAGGTAGCGATTTTTCGACAACATGGACCCCTGGAGGTCTGGACCACTTCTTAAACGAAAGCAGGATGAGGAGAAATTCGGGTGAGGAGCAATCGTGGATCTTCGAAAACCGGCGGGTCTGAAAAACCTATCGGGCGCGGCAGCGTGCCGGAGCACCCTGGATTGCTCTGGGAGCGTTCCGGAACGCTCCGAAGCGACTTATCATCACCCTAAGCCTGCCTGAAACATTGGACCCTGGAGGTTCTTGATCATTTCCCGTGGACTGTTCTTCCAGTCGTCCCAAGCTGTTACTTGACGGCCCCAGGGCGCGGCGACAGTTCCTGGGAAGCAAAGAAACTGCAAAAACAAACATTCCGTCGTGATGGTTCCTCGACGCGAGGGGGTCTGGGCTCTGGATGGTCTTCGGATCAAAAGTTAGCCAGCGCGGACCCCAACCAGTGCGTTATTGCACTGTTGAGGTGGAAACTTTGCGGTATTAACTATGCGGTTCAAGCTACGTCGTGTAAGCTATGTGGTGTGAGCTATGTCGTCAAAAGCTATCTCTAGTAAACTATGTGGCGGCAACGACGCGTCAGCGAGGCGGCAATGGGCGGCAACGTGGCGAATCCTCGGCATGCGTTGACGGGCGGCAGCGGGCGGCAACGTGACGAATCCTCGGCATAATTACCCACACAGCGCACGAGACGGCAGCGACGCGGCAACGAGGCGTCCACGGGCGGCAACGTGGCGAAACCTCGGCGGACCCACAAGCGCGGTGGTCGGCAACGGGGCGGCAATGGGCTTCAACGTAGCGAAACCTCGGTGGACCCCCTAGCGCGGTGGGCGGCAACGAGGCGGCAGTGGGCGGTAACGCGGCGAGACCATGGCGGACCCGTCTCATTCCTTGGTAAACGAAGTAAAAAACCCTAAATGCAAACACTGCTTCAGGAATTAAGCCTCTGGCGGCCGCTCGGAAATACCCGATCACCCCCGGAACGGTCTCGGCGAGGCGCAACTGCTGGAGGGCATCCGAGGCTGGAAAACCTCCGAACCGACCCAAACCCAGACATCCGATGTCTGAATTTTCCCCATATCCTAAGATCCTCCCACTCACCAGATGTTTTCTTAATCATGCGAACTCATTCACCGTTTATCCCTCCTATCCTCTTCCTACTTCACATAGTATCTCCTTCTCTTCCCTCCTCTCCGTCACCTTGTCATCGCCAGACTCATTCGCACTCGAACTCACTCATACTCGCCCCTCATCGTGCACAGACTCACTGCCCCTCAGACTCACTCACACTCAAACTCAAACCCACTCACACTCAGACCCACTCGTACTCTAGCTCAGTGACGCCACGACGCAGTCACAGAAAAATGCACTAACGCACATACGCAATGTAATTCATACAGACTCGTTCTCGGACTCACTCATTATCATGCCTACCCGGGGGGTTGCTGGTTTCGGCGCCTCAGACTTCTCTCCGTTGGTGGTCCAATGCTCACAATGAGATGGCAGGCGTAGCACTGGGGCACCCCAAGGGGGGGCCGCCAAGGGGTATCTCACTCCCCCGTTCGCGGCCAGACTGTGGGGATGTCTCCGGCGTTTTGCTGGTGTCGGCGCCTCACACTTCTTTCGTGCTCACCGCGATAGGGCAAGCGTACGACTGGGCCAACCCAAGGGGGAGCCGCCAGAGGGGGATCTCACTCCTTCGAATTTAGACTCGCTCAAACTCGGACTGGCCGACGTCCAGACGAACTCACACGTAGACCCACTCACACTCAGACTCGCCCACCCTCAGAATCACTGGTACTCAAAGGTACTCGTACTCAGGCTCGCTCGCACTCGAACTCCTTCTCGTCATACTCATATTCAGGCTCACTCACACTCAAACTCACTCGCACTCAGACCAACTCGCACTCATACTCGCCCGCACTCGAAATCAGTCAAACTCAGACCCTCCGTACTCCGACTCGCTATACTCAGCCTGGCTCACGTCCAGGCTCACTCATACCCAGATCCACTCACACACACAGACTCACCTGCACTCAGATCACTCACACTACGGCTCGCACACAGACGGCGACCGCGAAATAGCAGGCGTGGCACCTGGGCACCTTGTGCCAGCAGGCGCCGCAAATAGCACGCCAGATAGGTGGCGTGGCAACGCCACGCGCTCCTGTTACAGTTGCCGCACTGAGAACAGCAAGAGAAATTCACCTCGCTCTTCCAATGGCGTTTCCTTTTTATATCTTCCAAGACGTGTCCAGAGGGGGGAGGACCTCACGGAACTCGTCGCTGTCGTTGTCGTCGCTGTCGCGCCCGTCGTCTACGCGGACTCGCCCTCACACCCGGATGCTCACAGACAGAGTTCCTCAGCGAATCGACGTATGTGGATCTCCGCGTCGTCCCCAAGAAGACATTTCTTCCTCTCGAGCCGTTGCTTGACGGCCCCAGGGCCCGGCGAGGACGCCCAGAGGCCGAACGCTGAGAAGGACGGTTGCCTCATGCGTTTCCATACGCTGGACGTCTGGGAGCGTCCGAAGCCCCCCCGAGCCGTCGAGGTCTGGCGGCGACCACTGCGCCAGCGGCACCGCGCCAGTGACGCGGCCGCGGCCTCCCTGGCGGCGGCGGCGGCGTGAGGCGCCCTCGCAGCGCGAGGGACCCCACGCCACCGCCGCGGGGGGGCAGCGGACAGGGGAGGGGGAGGGGGAGATCGATGAGTTTGAAGAACATCCTGGAGGCCTCGCGCGGCAACTTGACCCAATTTACGTCGGATTCACGTCAGATGTACGTCGGGTCCACGTCGGAATACATCGGCTTTACGTCGGATCTGCGTCGGACTTCCGTTGGAGCATCGCCGCGCGACCGTCGACCCATATCTGATAGAGCGGACATGCGGACTATACGATACAACTATTGCGCGCCGCGCGAGGGAGGGGGAGGGGGAGATAGAAGAGGAGGGGTAGGGGGTGCTTAGAAAAATCCCCCCCGATGGGTACACACTGCTGTCGGGGCGGGCTTGAGACTTCTGGCCACACGCCTGACCCCGGTGGGCACGAGCCCTTCGACGGGCCTGGTGCTGGGGACGCGGATTCGAGGAGGAAGAGGAGGAGGAGGAGAAGGAGGAGGAGGAGCAGCAGGAGCAGCAGCAGCAGCAGGGGGAGCAGGAAGGCGAGGAAGAGGAGGGGGAGAAGGAGGAGGAGGAGGAGGAGGAGCAGGAGGAGGGCGAGGAGGAGGGGGACCAGGAGGATGAGGAGGAGGAGGAGGAAGAAGAGGAGGGGGCAGGAAAGTAAGGGTCCTGAGCGAGGAGGTCGCGACTGCCATCAGGGCAGCCACCGCGATGGCATCCTTGTAGGAGGGCGACTGCTATACACCAAGACCGATCCTGTCCAAGCCCATCCTTGGCCCAGGATTGGTGCCCAGACATGCTCGCGTTTTGCAGTTTTCGGCCACCAAGGGCCCTCGCGGGGCCTCGGGACCGTCAAGAAACGACTCGGGATGAAAGCTGGTCCTGGGACAGGTCTCCGGACTTCCAGAGACCCCGTGTTGAAAAAACAAGACATCGCTTGTCTGGGTGTGTACGCCCCCCCCGGCTTGGTCAGGACAGCATGCACACCCGTCCTGGGCCCAGAATCGGCCAGGCCAGGACCGGTGCAGGTGTATGGTTGGCGCCCTCCGACCTTGGTCGCGGTTATCTGGCGCACGACGCGGTCGACGTGGTGGAGCGCGCTCATGACCTCCTGGAGCCAGGGGGGGGACAGGAGTGGAAATGAGACACTCATTCAGGCGATCGCCAGGCCCCATAAGGGCGCAGCGGGTGAGGCCACGGCCTCGCCAACATTGCCGGCGGGCTGCGAGCTTACTCAGAGAGGTGGCGTCGGGGAGGCATCACGAGCGGAACTCGCGACAGATAACGTCTCCAGTTTCGTGCAGATTGCTTATTCGGAACCATTCGGTGCCGTTCGCGTCGTGACCGTTGCGGCCAGGTAGGTCTTGTTCGACGCTGTAGGGGTGCTTTCCTGTCCTGTTCTGGGTCCCCTGGGGGCCTTGCGCGGCCCCTGCGGGAGTTTCGCGGAAGCCTTTAGAGACAGCGCGAGGAAGATAATTCGCCGGCCCAACGGGCCAGAGGCGTGCTAAGATCTCCGGTACCAGCTTGAATATTTCAACTTCGCCCGCGCGGGGCGGCCTCTGGGGATCCCTGGACGAAAACTATACGCGGACGGACACCCGGAAGACTCCGGGTCAGAGATGGCGGAACGCCTGGGCGCGGTTCTGGTGGCTCCCAGATTGCTCCAAGAACGCCCCGAAGAGGTTCCAGCGGGCTCCGGGTCGCACACAGATCGCTCCCAAATGTCTAAGATGGCCTCCAGACGGCCCCACAGGTTTCCACAATGTCCAAGACGCCTCAAAAACGCCTCCGAAGAGAGCCCCAGGATGCACAAATCAGTCCATTCCCTTCGTAAAATGTATTTTTTCTCGATTCGCCTCCTCAGCCTCCGCAACGTCCAAGACGGCCCCAGGGGCTCTCAAGATCGCCCCACGACAGCCGAAGAGGCCCCCAAGAAGGATCCAAGACAGCCCCAGAGAGCCTCGAGACGGCTCCAGGAGCCTCGAGACTGGCGAAGACGGCCTCCGGACTGCGCCAAGAGGGGCCCAGAGGAGGAGCCAGAACGGACATTTCGAACCTTCGGGCCCCAGACGCCCAGAGGAAGCTTCCAAGAGGCCCCAAGAGGCTCCAAGAGACGCCTCCGAACAGAGCCCCAGGAGCACAAATCGCTTCACTCCCTTCGCAAAACGCATATTTTTACCAGATTCGCCTCCTCGGCTTTCGTAGCCTCTAAGACGGCCCCAGAGGCTCCCAAAATGACCCCAAGACCAAGACCGCCGAAGAAGCCCCCAAGAAGGCTCCAAGACAGCCCCAGGGAGCCTCAAGACGGCCTCCGGACTGCGCCAAGACAGGCCAAGACGGCCTCAGGACTGCTCCGCGAGGGGCCCAGAAGATGTACCAGAACGGACATTTCGAACCTTCGGCCCCCAGTCGCCCCGAGGACGCTCCCGGAAGCTTCCAAGAGGCCCCAAGAAGCTCCAAGAGACAAAAATCGCCCATTTCCTTCTCAAAACGCAATTTGTTCACCAATCCGCCTCCTCAGTCTTCCAACGTCCAAAACGGCCCAAGAGGCTCCCAAGATCGCCCCAAGACCACCGAAGAGGCCCCCAAGACGGATCCAAGACAGCCCCAGAGAGCCTCGAGACGGTTCAAGGAATCCCAAGACTGGCCAAGACGGCCTCCAGACTGCGCCAAGAGGGCCCCACAGGAGGAACCAGACCAAACATTTCGAACCTTCGGGCCCCAGACGCCTCGAGGAAGCTCCTGGAAGCTTCCAAGAGGCCCCCAGAGGCTCCAAGAGAACCCTCAAGAGCCTCACAACGCTCTCACAAAGCCTCCAGAAACTGAACAACTCCTTCAAAAACGTCTTCGAGAAGCCTCCCTCGAAACTCGATCAGCCATCCGAATGGCTTCAGGCACATCATTCAGGCACGGTGGTTGGTTAGGCCCACGGCAGCTCGTAGGTGTCACGCCCCACAGCCTCACGCCAAACGCGCTCCACATTTGCTGGCCGACGCCTCTTCTTCCGTCTTCTCCTCGTTTTCCTCCTCGTCCTCCTCCTCCTCCTCCTCCTCCTCCTCCTCCTCGTCCTCCTCCTACTCCTGCTTCTCCTCCCCCTCCTCCTCCTCCTCCTCCTCCTCCTCCTCCTCCTCTTCTCCGAGTGGCCTCAGACACACAATCCAAGCACGGTGACGGGATGGGCCGAACGCCACTAGTAGGCGTCAGCTCTGGCGGCCCAACGGGCCAGAGGCGTGCGAAGATCTCTGGCAACTGGACAACAATATTTGTAGTTCGCGCGCGCAGGGCGGCCCCTGGAGGTCCGCGGCCGACAAATATCCCGAGCAGGTCCCGGGCAGGTCCCCAGCAACTTCCCATCAGAGATGATTCTGCTCCTGGGCGCAGCCCTCAGGGCCTCCCAAGAGCCTCAAGAGCGGACCTGCGGCCACGAAGAGGCCTCCAAGGGCACGAGAACACCACCACGCAGCCACAGTGATGCGAAATGAGCTGGCGGAATGAGCGAAGCGATTGAATAATGGTGTTACTAATAACAATGAGAATCATGCTGCTGCTAATGATGCTGATGGTGATGATGATGCTGATGATGTGCAGATGATGCTGCTGCTGATGATAATGATGATGGTGATGATGGTGCTGATGATGATGCTGCTTATGATAATGATGCTGATGATCATGCTGCTGGTGATGATGTTGCTGAGGATGATGGCGGTAACGATGCTGGTATTGCTAATGATGATGAGGAAGATAATGTCGGTCAACATCGAACCGGAAACTCTTATCGAATCGGAACGTGTGTCTGACCAAGCTGCATCGGCACTGAGTCGGAATTGAGTCGGCTCGGACGGGCCAGGATACACACCTACGTCGCCTCACAAGCATGGGATCCTATCGTTAAGGATCTTTCACGGATCCTCCAAGTATGTCTCAGGGACCCTGTAAGGATCTCCCGAGGATTTCTCAAGGATCCTGCAAGAATCTCTCAGGGACCCTCGAAAAATCGTTCAGGGATCCTGTGAGATTCTCTCAGGGATTCTGTAGGGACTCTTCTACAAATTCCTCCAAGACCGCCCGGAGCGGTTGAGATTGCTACTTGATGGTTGAAATTGGTTCGAAGTGGTTGGAATCCTTTTAAACTAGTTGTACTTTGTCCCATGTCAGGTCCTGGCCAACGAGGCTGCTGCGAGCATGCCCCTTCCACCTCGATAGTGCTAGAGTGCGGGCCCCGCCTTACGGCCCGCACGTTCGTAGAAGCCTGACGGCGCCCGATATGCTAGGTACCAGGTCCCGTGTCACGGCCACCATTCCCATATCTTCATGAGATATCCTAATCTTCGATTCGCTTCCCCCCCTTTGCCCTCTCGGCATATAGCTTTCCGTGAATCTGTACATACCAGATGGCATGGATTTACTTTCGAAGCTGAACGACCGTTGCCGTTACCCGGGGGTGGAGGGTGGTCCGGGCAACAACCTTTACGCGCCAGAGGACAACCGGAGCAACCTCTCACGACGCGACTGGCTCAAAACACCTCCCCAATTTTTTCCGGAGCATCTGGCGGCCGTTGCCCCTGGAGCCAGCGAAACCGTGGAAACCTTTGGTGGGGAGCGAGCGGGGGTGGGGGGAGCTGAGCGGGCCACGGGGGCGGACATCGAGGGAAAAAAACACACTGACCCTGACCAAGATGTCGCGGGATCTTGTCGATGCCGGTCTTGGTCATGGTCCATGCCAGCCGTCGCCGATCCGCGAGGATTCTACACGAGTTGACGCTGACCAAGATGGAGGGAACCAGGATCAACAAAAACGATTCAGCTTTCAGGCTCGGTCATGATGCCCATATTTGTCCCCCTCCAACACAAGCGTTTGCTTTATAGGGGAGGGACCCATGACGGGCATCGTGGTCCAGGGGGCTCTTTAGCAAAACGAGGACGGCTGAGAGGAAGCATGGTGCAGCAGGCAGAGGAAGTGGCTTGACACCTCCCGCGCGGAACCATCAGAGGAACAAGAAAACATGATCATGACCTTCCTCTTGCTCCTTCGACTTTGGACGCCCGAGATGGGTACGAGAAAAATGAGTACGACGCCCAACAACACATTTGTCCAAAACCGACAGCGGCCGCTGTTGGGCTGGCGGCCTCCTGTCTCAAGTGGACAGCGCCCGCGGCGACACCGACAGCGAGTCCTGGGCAGGCGCTGCTGTCGGTCTTTGTCCCCATTCTCTCCGTACGCATTCCCAGACACGTGAATGCTTGGTCCCCCAAGGTCCCAACCTTTCCCCCAGAGCTGCTTGTTCATGCCGAACCGTTTTGCGACGGTCCTGATGCCCGGCGAAGGCCCCCGCAGGCCGAAAACTGCCGAAAACCGTTCGCCGTGTTTTTGGAACGACGCGAGCATGTCTGGGAACTGCTGTCGGTCTTTGCTCCCGTTCTCTCCGTGCCATGGCGTTCGTGCCGGCACAGGGGCGGTCCCCGGCTTGGGCAGGAGGAAGGGGCTCCCCCGCGCGGTGGGCCTGGGACTGCCAGGGGAACCAAGAGGGGCCGTATACGGGTGGGCGCCGGGGGCTGCTGGCGAGGCGCAGGAGAGGCCGAAGAGTCGCTCCGCGCTCCTCCTCCGCTCCTGTTCCTATCCTCCTCCTGCTGCTCATCCTCCTCCTCCTCCTGCTGCTCCACGTCCGCCTCCTCCTCGTCCTCCTCCTCCTCCTCGGCCTCCTCGGCCTCCCTCCCTCCTCCCTCCTCTCTCCTCTGCCCCTAGGGGTGACCTCGGTGCGTGGGCGGCGCGGCGCATCGGGGTCCCTGGGGCGAACTGAAAACCGCCAAGACGTCGCTTGCGGCGCCACGGCTCAGGGGCACTGGTGCCCTGGTGGGCTTGGGATGGCACCCCGACTCTGCGGGTGGCAGTCGATCTGCCCTCTCGGGTTCATCGGGGACCAGTCTGCGTCGGTCTGCGCGGTACCAGCTCGTTGCGCGGTACTGGCTCTGGTTACTATTGTTGCCCGCCCCTGACGTCGGGGTGTCGGGTGTTGCCAACGGGGTCGACTCTCTTGGAGATTACGGCTCAGAGACGTGTACCACCTGACCTCCCTTGGGCAAAAGGGTCTGCGGGGATGGGCCTGGCCACCC